CCGCAGCCCATAGCGAGGTCTGTCGGCCTGTGACCCGGACGCACAGACGGACAAGACTCCTCCAGGGCTCCTGGGGCAGATGGCGCTGTGTCCCCCACACACACAGAGGTGCCTTTCCCCTGGAGTGGATGTCTAACTCATTGTTTATTTATTCAAATAGACTTGGTTTATACTACTTTTAGGTGTACCGCTTAATGATTTCAGTATTTTTAAGATGTTGTGTAATATTATGTGTAGAATCTGAAAAAATAACATAAATGAATACATGTAGCAAAACAGAAACAGCCTCACCAATTCAGAAAACTTACAAGTGGCCATCTGTGAAGAGAGGAAAGGGGGAAGGGGCAAATTGGGGGTATGGGATTAAGAGATACAAGTTAGGAGGAGAAGGGTATGACAGAAAAGGAGATGGTTGGATGGCATCACTGACTCGATGAACATGAGTTTGAGTAAGCTCTGAGTGTTGGTGATGGACAGGAGGCCTGGCATGCTGCAGTACGTGGGGTCACAAAGAGTCAGACACAACTGAGTGACTGAACTGAATACATAACCAGTAAGGATATGTTTGGAGCACAAGGAATTATAGCCATTATCTTGTATAACTTCTACTGGAGTATCATCCGTAAAACTACCAAATCACTGTGCTGTATATTTGAGATGAATATTATATTGTAAACCAATGATACTTTGTTTTTTTATGTTGACAGCATTTTTTTTAATTTAAAAACTTATTTCATTTTAGTTGGAGATACTTCAATTTTAAAAAAATACTGGTATAACAAGTAGTTCACAATTGTTTACTTCTTGTTTCTCAGTAGAAATTAAAGTTTCTAAGGATTAAGAATTCTGATTAATACGTGTAATTAAAATGACTAAAATTACTAAGGCAAACATCTCTGTATGCAAGGAAATGTTTTAAAAGTTATCAGGAAACCCACTGAGACTTGCAGATCCGAATCCCCTCTTTGTCTCATTTTCTCTACCTGGCCCGGCTAACATGAGTCTACCGACCATTTGTTTACCATCTTCATGTGAATGGCCTTCCTTCTCTTTCAAGTCTCAAACCACTACCCCCAACACTCTCTTTAGTCTTTAACTGAAAACGGTATGGAAGGGAAAGGATTTGGTTATTCCGGTAAGTTGCTCAGTTTTCTTTGGTCTCTCCCCTGTATTGTCATTCAGTCACTCAGTTTGTGGACTGCAGCACGCCAGGCTTCCCTGTCCATCACAAACTCCCAAGTTTGCTCAAACTCATGACCATTGAGTTGGTGATGACATCCAACCATCTCATCCTCTGTTGTCCCCCTTTCCTCCTTCCCTTGATCTTCGCCAGCATCAAGGTCATTTCCAATGAGTTGGCTCTTCCCATCAGGTGGTCAAAGTATTGGAGTTTCAGCTTCGGCATCAGTCCTTCCAATGAATATTCAGGACTGATTTCCTTCAGGATGGATTGGCTGGATCTCCTTGCAGTCCAAAGGACTCTCAAGCGTCTTCTCCAACACCACAGGTCAAAAGCATCAATTCTTCAGTGCTCAGCTTTCTTTATAGTCCAATTCTTATATCCATGCATGACTACTGGAAAAACCATAGCTTGGACTATATGGACCTTTGTTGACAAAGTGATGTCTCTCTTGTTGTTTTTTTTTTCATTTATTTTTATTAGTTGGAGGCTAATTATTTTACAATATTGTAGTGGTTTTTGTCATACATCGACATGAATCAGCCATGGATTTACAAGTATTCCCTATCCCGATCCCCCCTCCCACCTCCCTCTCCACCCGATTCCTCTGGGTCTTCCCAGTGAGATGGATGAAACTGGAGCCCATTATACAGAGTGAAGTAATCCAGAAAGATAAAGACCAATACAGTATACTAATGCATATATACTAATATAATGCATATACTAATGCATATATACATACTAATACATATTAGTATATATACTAATGCATATATGATAACCCTATACACAAAACAGAAAAAGAGACACAGATGTACAGAACAGAATTTTGGACTCTGTGGGAGAAGGTGAGGGTGGGATGTTTCGAGATTTGTCTGTTTTTTAATTCACTGTGAAGCCTTATTATCATAGCTTTTCTTCCAAGGAGCAAGTGTCTTTTAATTTCATGGCTGAAGTCACTGTCTGCAGTGATTTTGGAGCCCAAGAAAATAAAATCTGCCACTGTTTCCATTGTTTCCCTATCTATTCGCCATGAAGTGATGGGACTGGATGCCATGATCTTTGTTTTTTTTAATGTTGAGTTGTAAGGCAGCTTTTTCACTCCCCTCTTTCACCTTCATCACATTATTGAGCTATCACTTGATTTTTGTCCCGTTAAGCTATCTCATGTCAATTTAATCCTTAGACCGACCAGAAGGACCTGGAAGGGTTGATTCAATTTCTCATCAAGGCTCTTTTATGGGTGGTGTTCTGTTGCCTGTTACAGCATATTGATAGCACAGGATATCTGGTTGGCCCACAGCAGTAAGTGAAGAACAGCAATCAGGTGATGTCAACCCCTTCAGACAAAGTTCTACTTGACAGCTTCAATCTTTATTAATTTCTTCCTAAGCCTGTACTGTCATGAGAACTGGCAAGGTAGTGATGTTCCTAATTCTGTTCGTCCACCTCCATCTGTATTTTTACTCATCTAATACCTTGCTACTCAGTTTATTGACCTGTATCCCTCATTTACTCTAGAGCAGTTGCTCATCCCCACAAACAACCCCCTACTTCATTATTATCAATATCTTGAATGTGCATAATCTCAATGTCAGGCACTCTGTTCTGCACTAACTCCTTAATGTGTCTATCCAGTTTCATTTCCTGTCTTTTCTTTCCACCCAGTTGTAATCATTTATCAATAAATCACTACTTAGTTCTTCTTTCCTTCACCTCTGACAATGCAGGTGTGTTTTTTTCCCCCAATTAAAAACTTTCCATCATCAACTCTATTGTGTAACTCCAAGAGTCTGTGATAGAAAAGTAAAGAGAAATAGTCATTTACAAAAGATTACACTATGCCTCCATAAAGCTGGGGGAAAAAATAAAAATGACCATTTTACCATGATGACATGATCCACTTTATCTGTTATTCTTCTCCTTTTCTTAAAGTCTACTTTGTCTGATAGTAATATAGCTGTCTTAGCTTTTTGTGTTACTGTTTGCACAGTGTATCTGTTCCCTTCCTTTTACTTCCAACTTACCTCTGTCCTAATATTTCAAGTGCAGCACTGGGCATAGTATACAGTTACCTGTCTTTCCTTCCCAGTCATCTCTGCATTTTTGCTAAAAAGAAGCATGAGGAGGAGCTTTGTATGTGCAGGTTAATGTTTTATTTCTTCCTCCAGTAGCTGCTTACATTGTTATACATTCTTTGTGAAATATCATCTTGCTGCACACTTATAAAACATGCCCTTTTTTATATGGGTATTGTGGTCTGAAAAGAATACTTAAAAATTATTCAGCATGTAAGTCATTTGTCCACTGGCAATAAATATAGGTCCCTAAATGCATTGCACCTTCATAATGCATAGAGGCTCAAAGTGCCCCTTGAACCAGGATTCCTCTAACGTGTGGAGGGATTCCACACAGCATCTATGTCCTGTGGTTAAGATGATTCAGCAGAAGGGATGCTTGGGTGAAGAGTTTGGAAGGTAGAAGCTGTTGCTTCTAGTTCTGCTCCAGGCTATGTCAGATCCCATAGTCAAAGTATATGGCAAATCCTAGTAGGGAAATGAGATGATGAGAAGGGAAAGTAGGTGCTCTCCTTACTGATACACACTTGTGTACACACATGCTCATGTGCATGCTCAGTCCCTCAGTAGTGACTGATTCTTTCGTGACCCCACAGACCATAGCCCTCCAGGCTCCTCTGTCCATGGGATTCTCCAGTCAAGAATACTGGGGTGGGTTGCTATTTCCTCCTCCAGGGGATCCCCCTGGCTCAGGTATTGAACTCATGCTCTTATGTTTCCTGCACTGGCAGGTGGATTCTTCACCACTGAGACACCAGGGAACCCTACACTTGCTCAGTAGGTCTCCTATGAGGGTGTCTGACACAGAATAGGGGAGTGGTGCTAGGAAGAGGATGGGGATCAGTCAACTGAGAAGCCTCTTAATCCAAGAAAATCACTTACCAATGGCATTCCAGACACCGAATTGGATCCAGGACCCAGAAGTCATCTGCATCACCAGGTAAAGGTTCAGAAAGATGCTCACCAGTGGGAGGACAGGCAGAGCAGGGACCTGTGGGCAAAGTCAGTTCACCCCTGAACACAGCCAATGTCAGAAAAGGAGCCCCCAACCCACATGTGGCCAGGAAGACTCCAGTCCTATTGAAGCTGTGTGTTCAGTGCCTACTGAAACTGGGCATGTGAAGCACTGAGTGTGGATCAGGGAAGGGTCCATTGGTTTGAGCAATTTCCCATCTTCCTATGTTCAGTAAAGGAGGTTTAAACCTCAAAGCAGGTAGACTACATTCACTCAAGGTGGATAGTTTGGGCACATAAGGCCACCTACTTTTTAAAAATTAATTAATTAATTAATTAATTTGGCTGCATCAGAACTGAGTTGTGGCCTGAGGGCTTCTCTAGTTGTGGGGCAAGGGGTTAGTTGCCCTGCAGCATGTGGGATATTTGTTCCCCCTCCAGGAATCTAACCTGCATCCTCTGCATTGCAAGGTGAATTCTTAACCACTGGACCACCAGGGAAGTCCCTCACCTACCCTGGATGGAAGAGGAGTGGGGTCCTGGGGCTGCCTCCAGATGATGACCGTGGCCCCAGTGATGAGCAGCAGCAGCAGCACAGTCACCGCTGTGAGCATGGGGTCTCCAGAGAACACATGTCTGGGCCACTGGGCCAGGATCAGGCTCAGGATGGTCAGCAGGAGAACTGCAAAGGCCAAGGTGGAGGAGAACAGGCTGGACTCCAGAAGACAGACATCAGGACCTCAGGTCACCCCCCTCCCCAGGCTGCCCACCCCAGGAAGGGCCATCATGTCTCCAAGACCCCTCAACAGACAAATATACACTCCTACCCATCCTGGCAATTTCAGAATACCACCAAAGAGAAGTCTCACTGCTCACCAAGCAAGAAGGCACATGCATACACAATCTGGCCAGATTTCTGGGTGGGGATGGTGCTGGTAGGGAACCACAGACTCTTCAGAATGTTTGAGTTTCCTGCTTCAGAGACAGGTTCTGAACAGTTTTTTTTTTTTCCTTTTTGGTTTTTCTCTCTTTTTTCTCCTGTTTTTTCTTTTTTGTTGAATTTTTGTTTTGGTTGTTCCTTGGTTGGGGGGTTTTTAGGGCGGGTTTACCGGCGGCCCTTTTCTTCTTCCATTTTCGGCCGGTTTATTCCACTTTTTTCTTGCTTTCGGCGGGGCGGGCCTTGAGGTTGGAGGATTTTTGGTTCCCTTTGGTTCCCGACCCCCCGGCCAGGTTTTGGCGGGTTTTCCCTTGGGGGCAGGGCCGGGGGGGGCCCCCGGGGGTTAGGCAGGCGGGTTCCCGTTTGTTGGGGGTCCCCCCGGTTGCTTGACTTTGAGGGTTAACGCCATGACCGCTAGGATGAGGGCACAGAGAAGGCAGGGAAGGGAGTGAGAAACAGCCAGAAATATCAAAGGTAAGGAAATGATCAAACAAGGGGTGGGTTTTGTTTATTCACCTGCAAGGGTTCCAGAAGACCTGATGGCCATGACAGGGGTGCCTGTGTGTGCATGGATCTGGGCAAGTCCCCGAAAAAGGAGTCCATCCTCTGCCATCACATACATCACCCAAGGCATGGGGAACATATCACTGAGGAGACTGGAAAAGAAAATGGAAACGTATATGAGGACATGGAGAGACAGGAAGGAAAGACCAGGGCTTCCATGCTCTAGTCTACTTGGGTCAAGGTGTTCTTCCCTCTTGTCTCTCAATTCCAAGGACTGGGATACCCGAGCATCTGACAGTCAATGGGGAGAAAACCAAGACACTGACCTGGATGTAAGAGCACAGAGGGTGCCAACAGCCACGACATATCTGGCAGGGCCCCACCCAACATGGAGTAAAGCCTGTGGCAAGGGGCTGTCAGGATGAATCTTGTAGTAGGGCACCATGAGAGTGAGTGCCGCTGCGACACCAAAGCATGCCAAAAAGCAGATGATGATCGTGATCATGGTGCTCATGGGGATGGACCATTGAGGATTTAGGGCTTCTTCCCCTGCAGGATGCATAGATGTACTAGGTTAGGAAAACACAGTGAGTGAAAGCACAATATTCCCTTTTCTCTTGCACCATCAAAAGCAGCCTAAACTTCTTCCGACTTCTATGCCCAAGGGCAGCCTAATCTGTGGCCAAATCCCTGAGGAGAAGCACAGTGACTATATTACCTTTAGTGACAATGGCATCAAAACCAATAAACATGTAGAAACACATAGCTGCTCCCTGGAGAATTCCATCAAAGCCAAAAGGTGCAAACCCTCCAGAACCCAGAGGACCCAACCTATGGTGAGAGAAGGAATGAGGAAGAACATGGGTGAGGTGAGTTCAGCCATCTTCACTGGACTCTTCCCTTCATACCACAAGTGCTGGGATCCAGGACCCCCATCACTTAGATCCATCAGCCCAGGTCTGTTTGGTGGTGGTTTAGTCAATAAATCATGACCGACTCTTTCAACCCTATGGGCTGTAGCCTGCCAGGCTCCTCTGTCCATGGGATTCTCCAGGCAAGAATCCTGGAGTGGGTTGCCACTTTTTAGTCCCCACAAGATTTGCAGACTTTCACCCTCCATCACACAAGTGTCACTATGGACAAGAAAACCCTCCTAACCTAGAGGTGCCACTGGATTCAGATGTGTTTAATGTGTAGTCCTGTTCCGTGAGCTCCCAGTTGTGCAGGTCTCCCTTAATGAAGCCAGAGATGATGATGAAGCTGAGAACCAAAATGCTGATGCCTGTGAACACTTTGTAAATCAAGGTTGACTCAAGAGCTCCCAGAACCAGTAATCCTGTGGGAAAGATGGAATATGAGACATCCAAAATAGCCAAATCCATAGACACAGAAAGCAGACCAGTGGCTAGTGCCAGGAGGGCTGATGGTGGTGGATAGATGGACAGTGACTGCTCAGTGAGTGCAGGGTTTCCTTTGGTTGTGATGCAAATGTTTGGAACTAGATGGAAGTGATGGTTACACAACACTGTGAAGGTACTAAGTCCCACTAAGTACACTTTAATGATGGATGGACTGTCACTGCTCAGTGGGTACTGGATTTCCTTTTGCTGTAATGAAAATGTCTGAAGCTAGAAGAAGGTGATCATTATACATTTTGAATGCCCAAAGTACCACTAAATTGCATACTTTAACATGGTTAGTTTCTTTCTGTGGCCATTATCATATAATATGGACTCAGTCACTCTGACCCTTTGAGACCCCATGGACTGTAGCCTGCCAGGCTCCTCTGTCCATGGAATTTTCCAGGCACGATTACTGGAGTGGGTTGCCATTTCCTACTCCAGTAACATAATATACACATCTCTCAAATCATCATGATGTTCACCTTGAGTTGATATAATGTTGTATGTCAATTATATATGAATAAGGCTAATGAAAAATAATAAAATGGCTAATTTTACGCTATGCTAATTTCCTCCCCATTGAAAAAGTCTCAATACAGAGGAAGAAACTTGTCACTCTAAGTAAATGATTCTCAGCTAGGGGTGATTTGTGTCCCCAGGGGACATTTGGCAATGTCTGGAGACATCCTGATTGTCACAGTTTGGGGAATATGAGTCATGGGTGTTTAGTGAATGAAGTCCAAAGATGCTACACACCTGACAGTGATTAATTAAGAAAATCCTGCAGTGCACAGGTTGGCCCCCAACACCAAAGGCTGTTTCAGCCAGAAGGTCAGTAATGCCAAGAGTGGGAAACAACGGTCTATGTCTCAACTTCCTGTCTTTTGTATCACAGACCCTAATTTCTAATTTCCCACAGTTCTGCCACCTCATGCCTTTCCCACCCTAGTTCCCCTGCCACCCCACATGCCACTCTTCCCATCTTAACTTGGATCCCTGTCTCACCTGTGAGCAACAGCACCAGGGACAAAGCAACAAAGTCTGGATAGTTGGCCAGGTAGTAGGGCATATATGGAGAGAAAGTTCCCTCTAAGGCCTGAAAGATGTGGTTCCCAATCAGGCTGTCGAAGGCGATGCTCCAGGCCCTGGCCACACTGCCTGTGACTGAAGCAGAATAAGAAGAAACATTTGTTGACAATTATAAATTGTACCCCCCATACACCAAGACCCCCTTCGTGGGTCACAGCCTTGTCATGGTGACGGGCTAGCATATTTCAATAAAACTGTGAGTGTTGCCATGCAGGACCTCTCAAGACAGATGGGTCACAGTGAAGAGTTCTGACAAAACGTGGGCCACTGGAGAAGGAAATGGCAACCCACTCCAGTATTCTTGCTAGGAGGACCCGATGGACAGCATGAAAAGGCAAAAAGTTATGATTCTGGAAGAGGAGGTCCCCGGGTCAGAAGGTGTCCAACATGGGAAAGATTGAAGGTAAAAGGAGAAGGGGGCCTCAGAGGATGAGATGGTTGGACAGCATCACCAACTCAGTGAACATGAGTTTGAGAAAACTCCAGAAGATAGTGGAGGAAGAGGCACCTGGTGTGCTGCAGTCCATGGGGTTACAAAGACTTGGGCACAATTTAGTGACCAAACAACAACAAAAACAAATACACAAAGTCATGTATGTTGGGGAAAAAATACAACATACCAAATCTCAAAGAGTTTCTTTTCATGGGGTGGGGAAAATAGACCCAGATAATTCTAAACTAGGTCAACTATTTAATGTTTGTGGGAGATCAAAGTTATGCAAGAAATGAGGGAAGTGGGAGCAAGTTGTCTGGGCGATGAGGATTAAAATTTTAGTTCAAATGCTAATGGAAACTCTGAAGGCAACCGCCAAGCAGAGACTTCAGTATAGTGAGGGGATGAGCCTGTGGGCCATGCCTCCCTCTCACCCACTCCCTATGATTCCCTTTCCATTTGGGTTCTTGGTCCATCTCTTAAGGAAAGCAGGGGAGAGCCAAAAAGAATGAAGTTGTGGACTTTTCCTTACGTTATTCCCCTCCTCCCCTCACAGAGTGGATGACCAAGTTATCATGCATGATTGAAGACCCAAATGCCTGCTCCTGGTCTCCCAAACTTCAGCCCCACACCTACCCCCGACCCATCCCCTCACCAACAACATAGGACAGTATGAGGTTCCAGGCAGTGATGAATGCCCACAATTCTCCCATGGTGATGTAGCTGTAGAGATATGCAGAACCAGTCCATGAGACCTGTGTCCCAAATTCGGCATAGCAGAGCCCAGACAATGCAGAAGACAGGGCTGCCACCAAGAAGGAGATGATGATCGCTGGTCCAGCAATGAACATGGCCACTTCTCCCACCAGGATGTATACACCAGCCCCCAGGGTGCTGGCCACACCAAAGGCCACCAGCTTCAGGATGCTCAGAGGAGCCGTGGGACTCTCAGAATCCTCAGTGGGCTCCAGGGGCCGCCTGCGGACCAGCTTCTGACCGAACTGGTAGAGATCCTGACACCGCATCCTAGATGGAGTTGAGGAGCTGTGATCTGCTGAGGAAACAAGACATGAAGCTATCAGCAAGGTTCACCTGCCCTTGGCCCTGGGAGTCCAATTCCACGGAGCAGTGCAGCGATGAGGGGCAGGTGGTAAAAGGACACTTGGGACAAGGTCTCCATCTCTGAGCTTTGGTTTCTTCAAACACAAAGAAATCTTTCAAGATGTTTCAAAGTTACTGGAAAGGCTTTTGAAAGAGAAGTGAGGTGGAGAGGATTAGGTCTCCCCCAAAATGCGCCACTTGGAACATGAGTTGTTTGGTGTGTGTCTGTGCTCAGTCCTGTCTGACTCCTTGAGACTCCGTGGACTGCAGCCCGCCAGGCTCCCCTGTCATGGGATTCTGCAGGCAAGAATGCTGGAGTGTGTTGCTGGGATCTCTTCCAGGGGATCTTCCCGATCCAGGGATCAAACCTGAGTCTGCTGTGTCTCCTGCAGAGGCAGGTGAACTCCACCACTGAGACCCCTGGGAAACCCCTGGATTGTCTTGAGCTGAAGGCAATTAAGACCCGCAGACTCAGGAAATGCTTTCTGTCTCTCCCTTAACTGCTCAAATGTACATGTACAAGCACAAACATACATTCACTTATTGTGCCTCAATATACAGTCTTAAAAAAAAAAAAAGTACGTCTGTGGCAACCATATGTTGTCATATGATGGATAGCAATTTTTCTTTTTACAAATACAGTGTCTTAATATTACAGAATCTGAAGCAGTAACAGATCCTGGAGCCTGGCAGGCTACAGTCAAGGGGATTACAAAGAGTCAGACAAGACTGAGCGACTAAACAACAACAGGTGTGAGGGAAGCTTGGGTTCCCCCTGAGAGCTGGGAGAAGTTAGAAAAGGGTCATTTAGAATGCCAGGAGAGTTAACCTCAGTCCATTTTCCCATTTTGTGGCAACAAAGATCTAACTGTAAGATAGCATTATAATCTAGAGACCAAGTTTTAGGCCACTTTCCAACTCCCAACTTAAATAAAGACCTGACATTGTTAAAGGAAACCTGAGTTTTCCTTTTCTTGGCCCATCTGGCTTTTGAAGGGCATCCTCCCTGGTTGAGCTTCCCTGGGGAATCAGAAAGTAAAGAATCCGCCTGCAGTGCAGGAGACCGGTATTTGATCCCTGGGTGGAGAAGATGCCCCGGAGAGGGGAATGGAAACGCACTCCAGTATCCTTGCCTGGAGAATCCCATGGACAGAGGAGCCTGGCAGGCTACAATCCACAGGGTCAAAAAGAGTCGCACATGACTTAGCGACTAAACAACAGCTACAACAAAGTGGGAGCAATTTGCTGGCAGTGGTTGTAGGTGCTGAGCCTTGATTCCGGGCGTGGTTCTCCCAAAGTTGATGAGGAAGCTCTGCTTGGGTGAGGGACAGGCCGGGGGTTGTTGTTTAGGCAGAATGAGAGAAATAGGGAGAGGGGCAAGAAAAAGATAACTAGGGCTCCTTCACTGAGCGGACCTAGATTAAGCCCTGCAGGTCTTGGAAAGAGAACAAAGCAGAGAGTGAGAGAAATTTCTCCTGGGAGAGAGAGAGAGTCAGAAGCCTCCAGCCAGTAGTTTGGGAGACCTGCAGTTTACCTTGAAATCCTGGGTTTCAGCCCCAAATGATCTCGGAGGGAGAGAGAGATAGCCGTGAGCACTGGCTTAGTTCTCTGCCCAAGAATTGGGCTCGAGTAGCCTGGATGAAAACCAAGACTCCTAGTCGCCAGTCCATCGGGGGCTAGAAACTAGAAACACGGTTCTCCTGGCTCTAGTCCTCAGTAAAAAGGAAGAAAAAAAAAAAGCATTTCCCCAGGGGGCAAAAACTAAAAATATGGTAAAACTGTATTACTGGCAACACAGCACACTTGTGCGGGAACACACAGAGGAAACTGTTTAGTTAAGACAGAAGCCAGGCAGAGTTCACACCCAAGAGGAAGGCTGTGGGCGTCCTCCCAAAGGAGGAGGAGCCCCGTAAAGACAATGTTAAGTTGTGTAGGTAGGGCAGTTCTTCCCGTCTTTGTTTACCTGGTTTCTTTTCCCACAACTGCCCTGCCCTAGGACCCTCCCTGACAGGCCATTTCCTAGATGGATTCCAGCACACAGGCCTGTGGGGGCCTGGACATCACCGATTATGAGAGGGCACCCCCTCCTTTTTGTCCCCCAAGGAGACTCTCTGCACATGTGCAGTGCCTTAAAGATAGAAAATATGTGACCTCTTGATCCTTTACACGCACAGGGTTTAGCCCCTCTCTGTCTCTGCCATGACTGTTATAGTAACGTGTCCACAGCAGGCAAAGTCTAGCTATTTACCCTGTTCCTGTCATTTCCGTCTCCAAGAGCAAACAGAAGTCTAGTTGTAAATATCTAGCCTAGACCTCACCTGCCTCATTCCTCAGGAAATGTAAACAGAAGGCTAGTTGTAGATGTAGTTCTTTCTCCTGTTCATCTGCCCTTCGTGTGTCTTCTTTGCAGGCTCCAGACAGAGAACCTAGGAGGATAGAGGACAAGATTATTTGCGCCAAGAGCAATAAAGTTTAAATGCTTCAACAATATGAGGGCTTCCCTGGAGGCTCAGACGTGAAGAAACTGTCTGCAGTGCAGGAGTTCCCAGTCCAATCTCTGGGTCAGGAAGATCTCCTGGAGAAGAGAATGGCAACCCACGCCAGTATTCTCCCCTGGGTAACCCCATGAACAGAGGAGCCTGGCAGGCTATAGTTCATGGGGTCACAAAAGAGCCAGACACAACTGAGTGACTAAGCAACAACAAATATATATATACACATACATATATATTCATACATGCATATAGTGGGATACAACTCAGCCATGAAAAATGAAGCAATGCCCCTTGCAGCAGTATGGACCTAGAGCTTATCATAGTTAGTGAAGTAAGTCAGAAAGAGAAAGACAAATACCATATGACATCACTTACATGTGGAATCTAAAATACAAGCCACATGAACCTATCTATGAAACACAGAGAGACTCACAGATATAGAGAGCAGACATATGATGCCCAAGGGAGGGGGAGAAGGAAGGATTGGGAGTTTGGGATTAGCACATGCAAACTATTCTATACAGATAGACAACAAGATCCTACTGTATAGCACAGGGAACTATAATCAATATCTTGTGATAAATTGTCATTGAAAAGAATATATCAATATATATGCATATCTGAGTCATTTTCCAGTACAGGAGAAATTATCTCAACGCTGTAAATCAACTATACTTCAATAAAATGAAAAGAAAATAGTTCAAAGTGAAGCAGCCAATAAGTGAGAGTCTAAATTTAAAAAAATAAGACATCTAAAATAGGCATTAGGGAGCTCCGGAGAACGAACACAAGCCTCAGGCACCGGACCTGCGCGCGCTGGGGCCGCGGAGGGAATAAGCGCGCCGTACCCAGGAAGAGTGCGCCCAAGCGCCTGGCTGCCAGAGCTGCTCAGGCCGGTGAAGGCACAAAACGCAGGCGCAACCGAATCTGCGCTTTTGTGGAGTACCCGAAAACTGGAACCGCACTCAATGCAGGGCCCGCTCCACATAGAGCAGCCGGGAGCCTGAGCAGTGTAGACGGCGAAAGCACTGACACCCGTGAGCGGGGCAAACCCAGTGTGGCCGGAACACGGTGAGTGCTATCATATTCATACATGCATACAGTGGAATGAAACTCAGCCATGGAAAATGGAAACAATGCCCCTTGCAGCAGAATGGACCTAGAGCTTATCTTAGTGAAGTAAGTCAGAAAGAGAAAGACAAATACCATATGACACCACTTACATGTGGAATCTAAAATACAAGCCACATGAACCTATCTATGAAACACAGAGAGACTCATGGATATAGAGACCAGACTTATGATGGCCAAGGGAGGGGGAGAAGGAAGGATTGGGAGTTTGGGATTAGCACATGCAAACTATTCAATAGTTTGTTTATCTATAGATAAACAACAAGATCCTACTGTATAGCACAGGGAACTATAATCAGTATCTTGTGATAAACTGTCATTGAGAAGAATATATCAATATATATGTATATCTGAGTCACTTTGCAGTACAGAAGAGATTATCTCAACACTGTAAATCAACTATACTTCAATAAAATGAAAAGAAAATAGCTCAAATTGAAGCAGCCAGTAAATGAAAGTCTAAATTTTAAAAAATAAGACATCTAAAATAGTCATTAGGGATTTAGTAGTAAGGAGCACTCCCCTCTTTCACAACAGCAGGACATTTGGAATCCAGCCCACATACCTTACATTAAAAAAAAAAAAAAATCCACACTGGTTTTTAAAAAATCTGACTTTTTAAGCAACTGTAACATAATAGGAGAAAACATACAGAGTTTAAAATAGTGTAAGGACACAGACTTAAGCCTTGAGAATGGCATGTCTGATATCACATTGTATAGAATTTTCTTGTTGTTTAGTCATTCAGTCATGTCTGACTCTTTTGTGGCCCCATGGACTGTAACCTGCCAGGTTCCTCTGTCCATGGGGTTTCCCAGGCAAGAATACTGGAGTGGGTTGCCATTTCCTCCTTTAAGGGACCTTCCTGTCCCAGGGGTCAAACCCACATCTCCTGCATTGGCAGGCAGGTTCTTTACCACTGATCCACCTGGGATGCCCAGTAGACAACCCCAACTGACAGGCACTCTCTTCAGTTATGATTCATGAGAGACACTCAGGTCCACCTCTGCTGCTTTCTCCCCACCCTCTCATCTTTCCGACATAATTTCCCATGTCTTTAATTCATCTCACGGTGACCACAGTAACTGTCAGAGGTACGCTCACATTCCTCTTTTTTTTTCCTTTTTCATCCAACAGTTACCCTGTGTTTCCAAGTGAGTGTCCTGATCATCACCCCTTCCTTAACTTCCCTGCCCTCTGGCCTCTATCTCTGGAACACTAACACCTTTTCATTTTCATATACTTCTTATGTGAACACACACACACACACACACACACACACACCATGCGTTTTCTCCATTATCTTGTAAAAGGAAGGGGTCTAGAAATAAATGTAGCTTTTTCGTGTTTGTTAGTATTCTTACTTTTTGGACTTTCCTGGTGGCACAGTGGATGAGAAACCACCAGCTAATGCAGGGCACATAGGTTCGATTCCTGGTCTGGGAAGATCCCACATGCCATGGAACAACTAAGCCTGTGCTCCACAATTACTGAACCTGTGCTCCACAATAAGAGAAGCCACTGCAAGAAGCATGCACACCAAAGCAAAGAGTAGACTCCTCACCACAACCAGAGAGAAAGCCCATGTGCAGAAACTAAAACCTAGTGTGGCCAACATTTTAACAGTTTTTTAAAAATCAAATGTTTTGTAAAATTTGCCAGTTAAACTATCTTTTCTGTGTTGAGTGATTTCTTATCACTGATTTAACGTCCTTGTTTGTTATCCGTGTTATTTATTTTATCCTGATTTTGTCTTGATATGTTGGATGTTTCTAAAAATTTGGTCTGTTTCTTCTAGGTTATCCAACTTGTTGGCATATAGTTTTTCATAGTAGTTTCTTATATGACTGTGTATATTTAAAGTACCATTTATAATATCTCCTCCTTTATGATTTTATTTATTTGAGTGTTCTACTTTTTAATTTAAAAAAAAATATTTATTTTAATTGGAGGCTAATTACTTTACAATATTGTAGTGGTTTTTGCCATACATTGACATGAGTCAGCCATAGGGGTATTGCTTTACAATGTTGTGATAGTTTCTGCTATATAAAGAAGTCAATCAACTTTGTTGTTTAGTCATTCAGTTATGTCTGACTCTGTTCCACCCCATGAACTGTAGCCCTCCAGGCTGTTCTGTCCATGGGATTCTCCAGGCAAGAATACTGGAGTGGGTTGTTATTTCCTACCCCAAGGAATCTTCCCAACCCAGGGATCAAACCGACATCTCCTGCATTGGCAGGTGAATCCTTTACTGCTGAGCCACATGGGAAGCCCAGTGAATGCTTTATGTATTCATATGTCCCCTCCCTCTTGGGCCTCCCTCCCACCCGGCCCCCACCCCAACCCTCTAGGACACCACAGAACTACAAGCTGAGGTTCTGTGCTTTGTGCAGGTTCCTATTAGCTATCTGTTTTGCACATGTAGTGTATACATGTCAATCCTAGTCCCACAGTTTGTTCAACCCTCTCCTTCCCCCACCGTGTCCATATGTCAGTGAGCTATCATCTCACAGAAGTCAGAATGGTCACCACTGGAAAATCCACAAACAATCAATGCTGGAGAAGATGTGGAGAGAAGGGAACTCTACTGCACTGTTGGTGGGAAAGTAAACTGACACAGCCACTATGGAGAACAGGATGGGCATTCCTTAACAAACTAGGAATGAAACTGCCATATGACCCAGCAATCCACTGCTGGGCATAAACCCTGAGAAACTCAAAGTCAAATCAAACCAAATCACAAAGATACGTGTACCCGAATGTTCATTGCAGTCCTGTTTACAACAGGCAGGACATGGAAGCAACCTAGATGTCTACAGACAGATGAATGGGTAAAGAAGATGTGGTACATATATGCAATCAAGTATTACTCAGCCATAAAAAGGAATGAATGTGAGTCACTTGCAGTGAGGTAAATAAACCTAGAGTCTATTATACAGAGTGAAGAAACTCAGAAAGAGAAAAACAGATATTGTATATCATGCATATGCATGGAATCTAAAAAAATAGGACTAATGAACCTATTTGTAGGGAAGGATTGGAGATGCAGATGTAGAGAACAGATTGTGGACACAGTTGAGGGAGGAAAGGGTGGGACGGACTGAGAAAGCAGCACTGACATTTATACACGATTATGTGTGAAACAGATAGCTCGTGGGAAGCCACTGTATAACACGGGGAGCTCAGTCTGGAGCTCCATGATGACCTAGAGGGATGGAGATATATACATATAATTATGACTGAGCCTCCTTGTTGTAGGCAGAAACCAACACAACATTGTAAAGCAATTATCCTCCAACTAAAAAAAATTGTAAAAATTTAAAAAATAAAATATTATTAAATTTTGGGAGAAAAAAAAAAAAGGAAAAACAGATGACCTCCTAAGTGCCTGGAGGGAGGGAGGACTAATCTTCGTTCTGAATCAGAAATGAGAGACTGTGTTTTCAATCCTTTGGGACATAGAATGTCTCCCCATTACACTGCTCTGCAGGGCTAGGCTGACTCAATGAACAGGAGTTAAGGTCAGCGGGCTTCTGTCCATGTTATTCTAAGGTCCAAGTTGAGCATTATGGTTGAGGGTAAGCATTCAAAGAGTCAGGAAGCTATGATTAGGATCTTGGCCCCAGGAACACCTCTCTGCCCTTGAACAAGTCATATACTTCTCTGGACCTGTGTTTCCTTCTTGGTCAAATGCTGCTGATGAACCTCTGAGCCGTGTCATTAGGAACATAAAATGGTGCAGTTGTTATGGATAAAGTATGGTTGTTCCTCCAAAAAACCAAAACTGAAATTACCATCATGGTTGGGCAATACCACCTCTGAGCATACACCCAAAAGAACTGAGAGTGAGGTCACAGGACACATTTGCACACCCATGTTTGTAGCAGCATTGTTCACAATAGCTGAAAGATGAAAGCAACCCAAATGGCCATCCAAAAAAAATGGATGAACAGAAAGTGATCTGTGCCTACAGAGGAATATTATTCAGGAATAAAACGACAGGAAATTCTGACCCACGCTATAATAGGGACAATACCCTGGTGGGCAAGAAACTTGACGACAACATGCTAAATGATAAAAAGCCAGTCTCCAAAAGACAAATACTGTATGATTCCACTTCTATGAAGTACCTGATATAGTTAAATTTACACAGACAGAAATAGAATGGTGGTTTACTAGGGCCTGGGTGAGAGGAAAAATAGGGCGTCATTGTTAAATGAAAACCTGGTTTCAGTTTTACAAGACGAAAAGAGTTCTGCAAATTGGTGTCACAGCTACGTAAATTTACCAAAAATTGCTGAACGGTTCGTTTAAAAATGGTGATGATGGCAAATTTATGTGTATTTTATCACAATTTAAAACAAAAATGATGCCAGTGATAAACAGGATAGCCAGCTTCACAGAGTTGCTGAGTGTACAAAACTCCAAGGTAACTTAACATGAAACACCACTGAGTCGTCCTCAGCAGAATGCTCAGCTCCTAGAGGAGGCATCAACAGACATGGAGGGCAGCCAGGAGACAGGAAACTGAAGGCAGTGGTACCCGTATCACAAACTCTATGTGAGGGTCACCTGAGTGTTGTGTGAGCATCAGTCTAAAACCAGTCCAAGAGCCTTTGGACACAGATCCAATCTCTCCCAGCCCCTTCTCTTCTCACACAAACACAACAGCTCCCAGCTCCTTCTACTTTCATCTGGAAAATGGGTCTATCCACCCTCAGGCTGGAGCTGGGCTGAGTCCCCCAACACTCGGGATTGCACAAGTCTCTTTGGGAAGATGTGAACTCAGCGCCCAGTCTCCTAAGGAAGAGGGTGACCCGAGACTTACTGGATCCTTGGAGTAGAGCCTGGAGCACTGGGGCAGTCAGGGAGGCTGAGGTTAAGTCACGCAGGGCAGGAGTTGATGCGTGTCCAAAAACCAAAGAAGGAAGTCCCTGAGCACAGAAGACAACGCTTAACCCCTGGGTATTTGGGGTGGGGAGGAGGCTGGGAGGACCGGAAGCTTATGCAAAGTTCCTGTCAGCTCTTAACAGTTCTGTGGTTACCATCAAGGGATTTTCTAAGATGTTTTTAACTGGGGTAACACACAAATGACATCTCCCTCATAGCACAGTCGGTAGGGTATCTGCCTGCAATGCAGGAGACCAGGTTCGATTCCTGGGTTGGGAAGATCCACTGGAGAAGGGGTAGGCTACCTACTCCAGTATTCTCACCTGGAGAATCCCATACACAGAAGAGTTGGCAGCATAAAGTCCATGGGATCGCAAGAGTCAGACATGACTTAGCGACTAAATGACCACCAATGTACAAATAACAGGAATTTGACCATTTTAACCATCTTTAAGTAATCAGTTCAGTTGTGTCATAACCAAAAGCAGAGTCTGGCTGCTGGCTCCTCAAAAGCCATTAAGAAGGCCAGGTTGTTGGAAGGAAAGTTTGCTTTATTTTGGATGCCAGCAATGGGGAGGGGGGGGATTATACTACTCTCAAAGATCAACTCCCCTGCCCACCCCAACAAGCAGACAGTAACAGCTTTAATGGGTTTCCCTGGTAGCTCAACTGGTAAAGATTCCACCAGCAGTGCAGGAGATTCCACTTCGATTTCTGGGTCAGGTAGATCGCCTGAAGAAGGAATAGGCTACCGACTCCAATATCCTTGGGTTTCCCTGGTGGTTCAAACAGTGAAGAATCTGCCTGGAAGAAGCCCTGGGTTCAAACCCTAGGTTGGGAGATTCCCTGGAGGAGGGCATGGCAACGACCTGCAGTATGGACAGAGGAGCCTGGTGGGCTACAGTACATGGGCTTGAAAAGAGTCAGAAATGACTGAGCACATCACAAAAGCATTTATAGACTTCAGGTTGGTGGAAGGAAAGTTTGCTTTATTTTGGATGCTAGCAATGGGGAGGGGGGATTATACTACTGTCAAAGGTCAACTCCCCTGCCCACCCACCCCAACAAGCAGACAGTAGCAGCTTTAATGGGTTTCCCTGGTAGCTCAACTGGTAAAGATTCCACCCGCAGTGCAGGAGATACCACTTCGATTTCTGGGTCAGGTAGATTGCCTGGAGAAGGAATAGGCTACCCACTCCAATATCCTTGTGTTTCCCTGGTGGCTCAAACAGGGAAGAATCTTCCTGGAATGCAGAAGTCCTGGGTTCAAACTCTAGATTGGGAGATTCCCTGGAGGAGGGCATGGCAACGCCCTCCAGTATTCTTGCCTGGAGAATCCAATGGACAGAGGAGCTTGGTGGGCTACAATCCATAGGTTCAAAAAGAATCAGACATGACTGAGCACAGCACACGAGCTTTTATAGATTCAGAGAGGGGGATACATTCAGAAACAGCACAGTTCACTCTGACAGTCATCTTGAAAGTGGTCATCAGTGAGCTGACCAGCGTTGTCTTGATTTTTTTAGGTACAGTTAATCTTCAGTAACAATGTCAGCTTGTTCCCATTTCCTTGAGGCCAGTTCTCAGATTTGGGGCAGCTGTTGTCATGGCTACACTCTGGTCATCAGTTAGTAAACTTCTTACAGCTGGTGGAAATGTCTGTATCTACATGCTTTCAGAATAGTGTCTGCAGCCCTTGAGAAGGAACTAAAGGTCCTTGACTATGCTTAGCCACCATATTATTATTTGTTCTCCTTTGACTGTTTTCCTTTGTTTCTGCATGCTCTCACTTCTTGGATTAAACTTATTATTTGGCTAAGCTTTTAGCACAGACAGAAAGCAGGCAGAGGACGTGGGGGTCAAAGACCTGCCCCATTTCCATGTTAAGTACATTCACATTTTGTGCGACCAAACCCCAGGACATTTTTTTCCTCTGGCAAAACAGAAACTCTGTACACATTCAACAACAATTCCTTCTTTCTCCTTTCCCAGCTACTGGCAACACCATTCTACTTTCTCCCTATGAATCTGATCACTCTGACCACTTCATTTCAGTGGAATCATCCCATATTTGCCCTCTCTTGTCAGCCTTATTTTACTTTGTATAATGCCCACTAGGTGTATCCATGTTGTAGCATGTATTATATTCTCTTTTTAAATGCTGAATATACTCTGTTATTGGTATCTACCACATTGGCTTAGTTCAGTTCAGTTCAGTTCAGTTCAGTCGCTCAGTCGTGTCCGATTCTTTGCAACCCCATGAATCGCAGCACACCAGGCCTCCCTGTCCATCACCAACTCCCGGACTTTGCTCAAACTCATGTCCATCGAGTTGGTGATGCCATCCAGCCATCTCACCCTCTGTTGTCCCCTTCTCCTCCTGCCCCCAATCCCTCCCAGCATCATGGTCTTTTCCA